AATATTGACATTTCTGGAATGTTCAGCATTTTTCATTTACCGTCATGCTTTGACAAAAGCACCTTCTATACATATGAAACATTGTCACATTCACAAATTCTACAAGGCATTAAAACAAAAATAGAAAGAAAAGCTCCCGCAGCCCTTCCTCCTCAGAACACATGGTCTCGATGCTATGTACATTTCTTCAGTTAATTCCTCGTTTGACAGATGATACATTCTGCACAGAAAGTGAACAAAGCCTGTACAGCCACGAGGCATGGCTCTTTCATGGCAGATAAAACACTGTACAGGAAGCACATTTTTTCGTGCCGCTAAAAAGCATAAACATGACCTAGAAAGTATTGTATAGACGTAGGTGCACTTACAGTACTGTGAATCAAAGAGAAAGCTAAAAGCATTCAGTGAAATGCATCTAGGAAATATTGAAGCTGTGCTAAAATCAGAAAATCTTTACATTGATTACTTTAGATAATGTTGCCATGCAGCCTTATAGGCAGGCTGAGCAACATCTGGTCGCTCATTCTGCGCTGTGCTAATTCCCTTCCACAGAATACAGGTACACGGGTGGCTTTACCACCACGTAAGCCTGCTGTCGTTAGCTGGACTTGCACCAAAGCTTAACACATCTCAAAGGCCCAGTCCACCCAATAGAGATATTTGAGTCATAAGTGGAATATGATGGGCTCAGTCATCTGCTGGCTTTTTTAGGAGTGAGATTCCCCAGCAAAATGTCCTGGCTCTGTCCCCATGCACTTAGCAGTTTTGAGTGTTCCCAATCACCTTTAAATGTTCCCACTTCTGCTGCTGGATTCACCATGATGTTAAATACACGTACAATCTAAAAGGGAGAAAAGGACCATGCAGGTGTGCAGCCCCAGAAACTCACACCCAAGTATTTCACCAACAGAGTAGCTAAGAAATGGGAGACACAAGCAGGTTGTTTAAACATCTAAGGCCAAAACCTGTCTATGTCCCATTGGATTTCCCTTTACTTCCTGTCCCGGCGACACAATGGGAAATGAGAGGAAATGTCTCCAAAGTTAGGGGAATTCCACTCTAAGACAGTTGTCATTCAAACTGGTAGATTGTTGTTGTTTGTCACCTGCACTCCGTACGGCTCTGTAGACCTTTCTGAATAGCAGTGCTCGACCTGATGACACTGATGGCGCCTATATTCTCATATACGGATTAAAGGAATCACCAGCACTCACAGGATGCAAAATTCTTGTTCATTTTTATTGAACATGCGTCACATGGGTCAATCATATGTCTTCGTAATATCCCCTGGGGTACCGATGTACCCCAATCATATGTCTTTGTAATATCCCCTGGGGTACCGATGTACCCCAGAATCCAACGGGTGGATGGTGCCACAGCATACAATCTAGAAGATATGTTGTCCGCACACCATTCTACTTCGTAATGTAATCTTTATTCATATTCCTTTAGCACGACATGTGAATGCAACATTTCAGATCCTCACAGGAACCCTTCATCAGGCAAAAATGTCCACACTTTGCCTGACAAAGGGGTATTGTGAGGCTCTGAAACGTTGCATTCACATGTTGTGCTAAAGGAATACGAAAAAAAGATGACATTCCGAAGCAGAATGGTGTGCGGATAACATATCTTCTACATGGGTCAATCATTGACGCATGTGATGCATGTTCAATAAAAATTAACAAGAATTTCACAACCTGTGAGCGCTGGTGATTCCTTTAATCCGTATATTCAAACTGGCAGCTCAGGGAGTCCGCCTTCATATGGGCTACAAGGACACATTATTGAAAGAACGATCAGTTCATAGATCTCACAGACATATATCTTCATATACTTAGGATAAAACCTGTACACAAAATGACACCATTTTTGGGACCTGGATTGGAATCCCATTGACATCAATAGGACTTCCGGTTCTAAAATTCCAAACTTCAGAGGGCTGCAAGTTTCTAAAAAGTCGGGATGAGCCACACTTGCTCGAAGTTATTAGAGGTTTGCATATCTCTACCTACACTTTGATTGTACAATCTATTTTAGATCTACCAACAATGACCCGGCAGAAAGACCTAATTAACTGGATACAAATTGAACAGTTGGTTTAAAATGGAGATTATATTACACAGTGTTGGTAAAGTAGATTACACAGAGATTGCACAACCAGGTTGTGGCATTTTCCTAGCAGCTTTCTAGCAAATTTAAGAATTTGCCATCGCAAACATAATCCTAAGGATAAAGATGATCTGCTACCAACTGTTTATATATATGGATATTTATTATGGCAGGTTGTTGGTAAATTAAGCCGTATGATTTAATTTGAATCAAAATCTGGTTGAAGGTAAGTTACATTTACTAGAAAATTACCCAACTGTATAAGTATTAAAACCATTTATAGACACACATATACAATCTCTCCCTTTATCTCCAGCACTGGCATACAGAGACCCTACAGAATCTTATCCTCCCATTCACAGAAACATACAGTCCATAGGCACACACACACACCTATCTCTTGCATAGTGCTGCTTCCTGCTCTTTGCAGTAAAAGGTGGGGGATGTGGTCTGGCTGCTGCATGGCGCATGATGCAGACTGTAAACAATGGGCAGGTGCAGATCGTGCTCCTGGCATCAATACCCATACATAACTACAGAGCATACACAGGGGCATTGGGTCACCGGCTGAGAGTGGTGAGCTCGGCTCACATACATGGAAGCGTATATTCAAATGCACAGAGGCGTACAGGGTTACACATTCCTCTGCTGCAGTAACATAATATGCCATCACAGAAGCACAGGTAAGCTTAGAGCTATTCTTACTTTATGGGATCATTAACCTCAAACGCTGGCTGAGCAATAGCAAATCATACAGAAGAAAAAAAAAGAATTAACAAGTGAGCAGTGAGCAATTCAGTATTATTATTTTTTACATCTCTTTTATATTTCCAATTTTTTTTACATGATTTTAACCCAAATTAGTTAATTAATCAAAATAAATAAGTTGAATTTAAGGGCGAAAGATGCCCCTTCATTGACCCTATGCCCCCCAATTCTAGTAAAACATTATGCTTCAGTATGCCATCTCTTCTGCTGCCCGGCTGCCCTGTACACCCAGTGTCTGGTATACAACTACATGTGCAGGATGATACGTTTAAGGTCTTGACATTTCCTGGAAAAAGAACAAATGCACCAGCATATCAGCTAACTAGGAACATTGAGAGTGGATGTTAGAATATGTATACGTCCATAACAAGTGCTGCCTAACCATGTCCTTTATTGCCTACTGCCCTTTATTCCTGTATAATATGACATACCCAACCATGATCTCTAATGCAAGATTACAACTTGGTCAATGAACCCTCATGTTTTCTTCCTGCACCACTCCCACCCCTCACCCTTTCTTTCTCTCTCTCTCCCCCTACCGTTTTCACTCTCTCCCTCTCTTTCTCTTCCCCACTCTTTTTCCCTTCCCCTCTCTCTTTTTCTCTCTTCCCCTCTCTTTCTATCCCTCACTCTCCCCCACTTTTTTACTCTTTCTCTCCCCCCTCCCTCTTCCTTTCTCTCTACCCATCTCTCTCACCATCTCATTCTTCCTCTCTCCCCCTCTGTTTCCCTCTCTCTTGCTCTCCCTATCTTTCTCTCTTCCACTCACCCTCTCTTTATTTCTCTCTCTCTCTCTCCCTCTCTCACTCACCCTCTCTCTCACTCACCTTCTCTTTATTTATCTCTTTCCCTCTCCCACTCACCCTCTCTTTCTATCTCTCTCTCCCTCTCCCCCTATCCCTCCCTTTCTTTATCTCTTTCCCCCTCTTTCCCTCTCTCGCTCACCCTCTCCTTCTTTCTCTCTTTCCCCCTCTCGTTCTTTCTCTCTTTCCCCCTCTCGTTCTCTCTCCCTCTCTCACTCACCCTCTCTTTCTTTCTCTCTTTCACCCTCTCTTTCTCTCTCACTCACCCTCTATTTCTCTCTTTCCCCCTCTCTTTCTCTCTCCCCCTCACCCTCTCTTTCTATCTCTCTCTCTCCCACCTATCCCTCTCTTTCTTTTTCTCTTTCACTCCCCTTTATACCTTTATTTCTCTCTTTTCTGGTCTGTCCTGTTTACTTTTAAAACAATTTATTTTGTACTTCCTGCTCTCAGGAAAAGGTCTCAGGACATTGTCAAGTTTATGGCCAATAGGAAGAAATCTCCATACTAGAGTTCTGGGCCCTGGCAGGGACAATATAAACCCAATCAAGACGTTCAGACATCCTCCTGCTGCATTTTCTGTAAAATCAATGAAGACATTCTGAATTCAGATGCTGGAAGGAGCCCCCATATAATCTGGGACTTCACATTCTGGGAGCTCCTGGGAGATACAAAATTGCTAACATTATAAAACCACTTGCAGGAACGACGAAATTGCTCCAGCTAAAATCTCCACACACAATACGGACTCACCGCGTACTAGACACCCAGAAAATGAGTACTTCTAATCCAAACAAACATTCCAAGTCATTTATCAATAGCAAAAAAATAAATATATAAAATATTTGTTTATAAAAAAATATTACAAAAATATAATATAAATATATAAAACTACATGATGAGCAACTTAAAAATGTACACTCAATGCACAAAAGATGGGGATTTTATGATGACTGATAGGGACATTTCCAGGGGCAAAAACTTCCCAATCAAAGCCTGCTTCTGAAAAATTGGTTTGTGAAAGGCTACTGGGGAGGGCTACTAACATAAAGGGGGATGTTGATGTGAAAGGGAGAATTAAACCCCCCTTTTTTTTTTTTTTTGTGTTTTTGCATGCCCCCCTTACATTTTAGACTGGGATGCCTCAAGATTTTGCATACTTTTAAGGGTGCCATGAGTGATAAAAGGCTGAGAAACTCTGCTCTAATTACCTCTAGGTGTCACAGCTACTGCATCCCTATGTCTCTCAAGGATAGATTGCAAGCTCTTGGATCTACAGTGAACCACAGGATCCCAGCTATCTGCAGAAGCATCACTCACCCGGTGCGCCCTGCGGATCCGACACCACTGTGACCATGCCATCCCGGTGGAGTAGCAGAGATGACGGGTCCCGTATCCTGGCCCTGGGTCCCGGGGAGCTCTGTGCCAGTCCCCGGGCACACTGGTAGCACACGGCCCACGCCTGCTCCTCATTGATGGGCTGCTCGTAGGATTTCAGCACCTCCTCCAGGGACAGCTCCCCGCATCCCCCCGCAATCCCCACGACGCTGCCGCCGCTGTTGCTAGCCTTGGCCATCCGGGCGAGGCTCCATCACCGGGCACACAACCTGCAGCGCTCCATCTCTCAGCCGGCCAGGGAGAGTCCGGTGCAGGGGACGGAGGCGCCGCCTTCTCCTATCCCTCCTACCGGGCCCGAGTCATCAGCGGGGAGGGGAGACCGCACGAAGTGTCAGCGCTGTGGTCAGGAGGGGCCGCTGGAGATCGGAGCAGTGACAGCACGGTCCCCGGGAGGAAATCAGTGACAGGTGTGCACACTGCAGCCCAACCCAGAGCAAAGATCACCCGATAAATCAGTGTGACCTGGCTTGCTGCCTGCTACCTCACCTTTAAATTACATAGCAGTGTGTCAGCATGATGAGAACAAGCAACCTGCATGCTTAAAGGGTGACACCCCTTCCCCAGCAAAAATAGGTGGAGGTTAGTGTGCTGAACCACAGGGCAAGATCCCTGCCACTGTAGATTCCACATAGGGATCCAAAATCTTTCCCAAAAGAAGAACTCCAGGAGTTAATACATTTCACACTTGCAGTGGGGCTACCCCCCTCCAAAAAGTCAGCTTTTATTATTAGTAGAGGTCAGGGTGCTGCACCACAGGGGCAAGATCCCCCCTCCCCTGCCTCTGGAGATGCCACATAGGAATCCAAAATCTTTCCCAAAAAAGGAGCCCCAGGAGTTAGTAAAATTCACACTTGCAGTGGGGCTACCCCCCTCCAAAAAGTCAGCTTTTCATTAAAGGTGCCGGTCAGGGTGCTGCACTACCCACTAGTGTAGTTCCCCTGCAGGGGTTATTTTTAATAAATCCTGAAGTTATTCTTTAAAGTGATATTAAATGTCGAGGTGTTTAAGCTATTTCTAAATGCTGATATAATCACTTACAATGCGCTTACTCTAGTGTTACCTGCCCATCATTGCTCTTGGCCGGCTTCCTGGTGGTGACAACAGTTGACCTTACCTGTGCAATGTGTGTCGGCACGGCCACTTGTAGTCTCCCCCATCAGTGCATGCACTCCTCCCAACTATCCCTCATTCGGAAGGACTGTCCATCTTTTGGAACAAAACCCCTCTGTTCTTCTTTCCTCCTCCTGCACTAAAACCTTCAACCTTATCTCTCAGGGTCCGTTCACACCAGTTGCAGTGCGTTCTGGCCGGAACGCACTGCCTCGCATTGCGGCCGGCTCACTTTTTTGCCAGGCTGGAGGGGGCGTGGCGGGCCATTGAAGTGAATGGCACCGTAGCCACGCCCTCCGGCCGCAATGCGATCGCCCACACGGGATCGCAAGGCACATTGTGCCTGCAGTTTGGTCCGGTGCTGTGCAATCAAAATAGTGCTTGCAGCATTTTCATCGGACCGGACTGCAGGCACAATGTGCCTTGTGATCCCGTGCGGGCGATCGCATTGCGGCCGGGGGGATCTCCATACTAGAGTTCTGGGCCCTGGCAGGGACAATATAAACCCAATCAAGACGTTCAGACATCCTCCTGCTGCATTTTCTGTAAAATCAATGAAGACATTCTGAATTCAGATGCTGGAAGGAGCCCCCATATAATCTGGGACTTCACATTCTGGGAGCTCCTGGGAGATACAAAATTGCTAACATTATAAAACCACTTGCAGGAACGACGAAATTGCTCCAGCTAAAATCTCCACACACAATACGGACTCACCGCGTACTAGACACCCAGAAAATGAGTACTTCTAATCCAAACAAACATTCCAAGTCATTTATCAATAGCAAAAAAATAAATATATAAAATATTTGTTTATAAAAAAATATTACAAAAATATAATATAAATATATAAAACTACATGATGAGCAACTTAAAAATGTACACTCAATGCACAAAAGATGGGGATTTTATGATGACTGATAGGGACATTTCCAGGGGCAAAAACTTCCCAATCAAAGCCTGCTTCTGAAAAATTGGTTTGTGAAAGGCTACTGGGGAGGGCTACTAATGGGGATTTTATGATGACTGATAGGGACATTTCCAGGGGCAAAAACTTCCCAATCAAAGCCTGCTTCTGAAAAATTGGTTTGTGAAAGGCTACTGGGGAGGGCTACTAACATAAAGGGGGATGTTGATGTGAAAGGGAGAATTTTGATTTGAAATGGGGACTCTGTTGTGAAAGGGGGGGCTCTGATGTGAAGGGAAGACTTCAATGCAAAGGGAGGAACCCCACTTTTTTTTTTTTTTTGTGTTTTTGCATGCCCCCCTTACATTTTAGACTGGGATGCCTCAAGATTTTGCATACTTTTAAGGGTGCCATGAGTGATAAAAGGCTGAGAAACTCTGCTCTAATTACCTCTAGGTGTCACAGCTACTGCATCCCTATGTCTCTCAAGGATAGATTGCAAGCTCTTGGATCTACAGTGAACCACAGGATCCCAGCTATCTGCAGAAGCATCACTCACCCGGTGCGCCCTGCGGATCCGACACCACTGTGACCATGCCATCCCGGTGGAGTAGCAGAGATGACGGGTCCCGTATCCTGGCCCTGGGTCCCGGGGAGCTCTGTGCCAGTCCCCGGGCACACTGGTAGCACACGGCCCACGCCTGCTCCTCATTGATGGGCTGCTCGTAGGATTTCAGCACCTCCTCCAGGGACAGCTCCCCGCATCCCCCCGCAATCCCCACGACGCTGCCGCCGCTGTTGCTAGCCTTGGCCATCCGGGCGAGGCTCCATCACCGGGCACACAACCTGCAGCGCTCCATCTCTCAGCCGGCCAGGGAGAGTCCGGTGCAGGGGACGGAGGCGCCGCCTTCTCCTATCCCTCCTACCGGGCCCGAGTCATCAGCGGGGAGGGGAGACCGCACGAAGTGTCAGCGCTGTGGTCAGGAGGGGCCGCTGGAGATCGGAGCAGTGACAGCACGGTCCCCGGGAGGAAATCAGTGACAGGTGTGCACACTGCAGCCCAACCCAGAGCAAAGATCACCCGATAAATCAGTGTGACCTGGCTTGCTGCCTGCTACCTCACCTTTAAATTACATAGCAGTGTGTCAGCATGATGAGAACAAGCAACCTGCATGCTTAAAGGGTGACACCCCTTCCCCAGCAAAAATAGGTGGAGGTTAGTGTGCTGAACCACAGGGCAAGATCCCTGCCACTGTAGATTCCACATAGGGATCCAAAATCTTTCCCAAAAGAAGAACTCCAGGAGTTAATACATTTCACACTTGCAGTGGGGCTACCCCCCTCCAAAAAGTCAGCTTTTATTATTAGTAGAGGTCAGGGTGCTGCACCACAGGGGCAAGATCCCCCCTCCCCTGCCTCTGGAGATGCCACATAGGAATCCAAAATCTTTCCCAAAAAAGGAGCCCCAGGAGTTAGTAAAATTCACACTTGCAGTGGGGCTACCCCCCTCCAAAAAGTCAGCTTTTCATTAAAGGTGCCGGTCAGGGTGCTGCACTACCCACTAGTGTAGTTCCCCTGCAGGGGTTATTTTTAATAAATCCTGAAGTTATTCTTTAAAGTGATATTAAATGTCGAGGTGTTTAAGCTATTTCTAAATGCTGATATAATCACTTACAATGCGCTTACTCTAGTGTTACCTGCCCATCATTGCTCTTGGCCGGCTTCCTGGTGGTGACAACAGTTGACCTTACCTGTGCAATGTGTGTCGGCACGGCCACTTGTAGTCTCCCCCATCAGTGCATGCACTCCTCCCAACTATCCCTCATTCGGAAGGACTGTCCATCTTTTGGAACAAAACCCCTCTGTTCTTCTTTCCTCCTCCTGCACTAAAACCTTCAACCTTATCTCTCAGGGTCCGTTCACACCAGTTGCAGTGCGTTCTGGCCGGAACGCACTGCCTCGCATTGCGGCCGGCTCACTTTTTTGCCAGGCTGGAGGGGGCGTGGCGGGCCATTGAAGTGAATGGCACCGTAGCCACGCCCTCCGGCCGCAATGCGATCGCCCACACGGGATCGCAAGGCACATTGTGCCTGCAGTTTGGTCCGGTGCTGTGCAATCAAAATAGTGCTTGCAGCATTTTCATCGGACCGGACTGCAGGCACAATGTGCCTTGTGATCCCGTGCGGGCGATCGCATTGCGGCCGGGGGGAGTGGCTACGGTGCCATTCACTTCAATGGCCGTCACGCCCCCTCCTGCCCTACAAAAAAGTGAGCTGGCCGCAATGCGAGGCAGTGCGTTCTGGCCAGAATTGGGCCAGAATGCACTGCATATGGTGTGAACGAGGCCTTAAAGGAGAACTATAGGGTCAGGGCTTTTCCCCATAGTTCTCCCAAGGGTAACGGGAGGACACAAACTAGCGTCCTCCCGTCACCCAAAGCTCAGTATAACAGTATACTGAGACGCCGCAGCCGGGACGGATCCCGACATTACTGTCTGGATGCACCCAGCTGTACCCGCCCCCTCTCCCGTCCGTTCTGCCAGTCAGCGCTGGAGGATCGGACAGGGGAGGGGGGAACACTGCAGGGAGCCGTGAGTGACAGTGCATGTGATTGTTGTCAATGCAGGGTCATAATTGACATATAGTGACATAGGGGTTGGGTGAAGGACCCACAGTGTGCCTGTGTGTCCTATGTCCAGAGCTGCAGTCTTCATAAGGCTCTTTATATTAAATACTTTTGGGAGTGTCAGATGCTGGCATCCGCTGCTGCATGCTATGGTTCCATTCCCCCTCCCACATCACTGCTGTGTCCTATAGTGACATAGGGGTCGGGTGAAGGACCCACAGTGTGCGGCAGGGGATAACAACATCTGACACTTTTGAAGCTTTTGACTTAGGGCCGGTGCACACCTAGGCTACACCTCACCGCGGCAATTTGCACGATTCCACGCGGTTTGCCACGCAGTCAGGTGTCACCTAGGTGTGCACCAATCGCGCTGTGGTTACCACTCTTTTCTAATGGCACCCCAGCCACGCCAGGCGAATCGTGCGGTTTCCCACCGCGATTCCGCCCGTGCTTCCAAACACAAAAACAGCTGTGAGTCGTGTGTAGAAAAAAAAAAGGTACATGTACCTTTTATCTGCGATTGCCACGCAGATGTCACCCCATTGAAATCAATGGGGCATTGCCGTCTGCATTATGCAGGACCGCGCCATCCCGGGACGCGCCATCCCAGATCGCGTAGGTCTGCACGGGGCCTTAGCTTAGTTAGAGCTAGAGCTCTCCAGCCATCAGTCTTGTGGATTACAGACCTCTGCAGATAGACCACTGCTTAAACACAGAGACCAAGGGTCCTGCTCTACAGCTACTGGCAGGGGACAGGCTTTTCTACTAATAAACAAAAGGAACTGTAAGGGCCTGTTCACACCAGCCCATTGTAAGGACATACAATAAAACGCATGGTGATGCACTGTATGTGAGTTATATTTTGAATAGTACCCCAATGGGCCTCTGCAGTGCATGAAATGGGCTGCCTAAACAAAAACGTATGCATTGCAGTTAGGTGTGGTGTGAATGGGCTCAGAGACTTTGAAGGCCATTTATATTGATGCACCTGGAATGTAGTTAGCTGATTTACTCTAAAACTTCCCCCAACTGTATGTACTGTATAGTCTGCAAGACAGCTATAGAGCCAATAGTGTGCACATTCCTCCTTGGACAAGGATTGATGTGACGTATTCCTTCTCAATAGCTGTAGCATGCCAATGCTAAAACATGAATAAAATAATAAATAAATAAAAAGTGCAGTCTCTCTGTCTTGATATAGAACTCCTAGAGCGTCAGCCAAGGTGAATTCCTGCTTCTTTGAACATAATGGTGCTCTAGATGCAGGAAACCAGTCAATACCTTCCGCTTTTAAAAGCTTTTACTCCACGATTTGTACACAAACTGTAACCAGGCTATAACCCAACACCCGTCCTGCTGCGGCTGCCTGTAAGTGTGCGACTAAAAGGGCTTGTAGACTTAATGATTAGCTGTCGGTAATTATATCCTGCCCTGGGATCTGGACCCAGGGTAAGAGACACTCCAGGGACATATCCTTGCCACATGCCATCTTCACATCCCTCAACGCTTCTCTTTTCATTGGGGTTTATATGTGTATACAGTATACAGTATATGTATATATGCATATGAGTCAGGAAAGCTGCCAACAGCCAAAGTCATTGAAGAAACAAAATATAGTGAATAGAACAAAAGCAGCTTATTTGGGATCTGTGACACTTAAAGGGTTAGTCCATCCGAAATTAATAGTTCAGATTTTGGAAAATGCTGGAGAGTTCCTTTCTTCAATCCCAGGGACTCTATTGATGAGGTCTCTTGGTTGAGTTCTGGGGTCAGCACACCTGCTGAGGCCATGATAAGGGGTTCTGATGGATTTTGCATTTGTTTTATATTATGGAGAATGTAACTGGAGTAGCTGGAACACTCAATGATGAGTATAACACCCAAGACCTCCCCGGTGCGCAGGGATAATGGCAGCAAGAGCCCATTGTTGGAGTAACCCAGTCACATAAGGAGCCAGGAGCTAATGCCGCCCAATAGGTTCCACTTAAACTAACAAATCCCTTTCTAGAGGACTGACTCTTTAAGTGACAGTCCCGGGGCTGCATGGTTCTTGTGTCAGGAAGGGATTCAAAGAGGAGAATGAGGAGAGAGTCTGAAATTTGCACTGTTGCTGCTGTCTGTTTAGGGACTTTACTGTTCCTCTTGGCTGATTGCAAGGCATTCAGAGGGGTCCAAAGTCTTTCAATACTGGTGTTAATTCATAGCAGGAAAACATGAAACAGCCAATGCGTTTTGGGGCTTAAAGTTCTCTTCCTTCTTCAGGGCTTCGGTGTTCAGTAGTTGGGAGGACTTAGAATTGGCACAATCACCAGGATTACTTATTTGTTGTGTAAACGGTAAAAAATACCCAAGTTTGGTAAGTCAGCAAACGTCTGAGCCCCTTAAACATGTTGGCTGGTTTATGCTTCCTGTTATGAGATGACACGATGTAAAAAAAACTTTGGACTCCCAGAACCTTTGTATGGTGCTCTCTGTAGAGCTTCAACTCTGAGTCCTCTCCTCAAGGGGTAGAAAAATGGACACTGGCACCCCAAAGCTAATCTAGTACATCGTCTATTTATTCACGTACTTGTTGCATAGTCAAACACTAAGTACAACGTTTTCGGGGTCTCACAGGATCCCCTTCATCAGGCAAGCCAGTGATAAATGCATGTGATGCCTGACGAAGGGGATTCTGTGAGACCCCGAAACCTTGTACTTAGTGTTTGACTATGCAACATGTACATGAATAAATAGACATACTGGATTTGCTTTGGAGTGCCAGTGTCCATTTTTCTACTTGTATACTTTGACGGGAGCCACCCTGTATCTCTCCTCAAGGGGTGTCCTGTCTTAACCTGACTGACCTACTGAACCCAGTGCCTTGTTTCTCACTTGTTCTGTACAAGGCATTCTCAGTAGTGATGTCACATTAAAAGCATAGCAATGATTGGATTTAGTTTGGATAGAAGAAGGGGAAGGATTTAACTTCAACTAATTAGAATTTAACTAATAAGAATGTTATTCTTGTCTTTGACCCCATTGGGGAGACTTTCCCTTACTTCCTGTCCCCGTGACACAGGACAAGAATTAGGGGGGTGCAGTTGTCAGTCACTGGGACAGGAGGGCATGAAAAGAAGTCAGACATTCTAACCAATCAGCTCTCTACTAAAAATGTGTTTCTGTCCCCAGTAGAGAGATTTCCTGTCATTTATCCAGGAAGAACACAATCAG